CTGAATTAAGGTGATGTGTACTCGTCTCGGCTGTGTTTCTGCTTCACTCAATTGGCAAATATACGTCCAGTTTGTGCAGAAATGGAAGAAAGGTGTCTTGTTTTGGTCTCTGCCAACCCAGGGTGGGTGCAGGTTTGTGGAGAGCCAAGGGGAGGCTGAAGCCCCCTGCACAGGGACAAAACCTGCAAAAGGTGAGAAGAGTCTGGATCACAACCACTTTAAAATGGCATTCAAACTTGTCAAAACATTCTTTCCTCTCCAGGAGTCAGCAATTGAGCTCATATTTGCTGCTTTTTTCACTACGGCTAGTGCCAGCACCTCTCTGATCCTCCTGCTACTGAAGCATCCCTCAGTGATTGAAAAAATAAGGCAGGAGCTGCTGTCCAATGAGATGTACCAGCAGTGTGAGAGCTGCCCTGTGGAACACTGCCTGGACACCCTGACCACCCAGAGCAGAGACAGCAAGAGGCCACTTACCTGCCCCATGGCCAGAGATGCTCATGAGGACCAGAGCCAGCCACTGGGCTCAGCAGAGGCAGGTTCCCATCAGCCCAATGCCCTTCCAGAGCCTGCCTTCCCCCAGAGCACTCCCTGCACTGGTCCCCAGCTCCAGTCACCATCAGGGCAGAGCTGTCGCTGCCCCTCAGATATCAGCCTGGAGAAGCTGAGCCGCCTGCGCTACCTGGACTGTGTGATTAAGGAGGTGCTGCGGGTGCTGCCCCCAGTCTCCGGAGGCTACAGAACGGCACTGCAGACTTTCGAGCTAGATGTAAGTGCCTCGCACGCCAGCGGGCTGCTGGGGAGCTGCTGCCTGCCACTGCCTGCAAGCTCCCTGTATCCGGCACAGTGGTGGCGCTTGGCAGTGTAGCACAGGAGAAGGTGGCACTCGGCAACCTCTGGGAGTACCAGCTGGGCTGGGGAGAAAAGGAGCTGTGGGTCAGATGGGTAATGTGGTGGGGCTGTTCCCCAGCACCCTGTGCTCACTCTTCACTAGCACAGCTGGCTGCACAAGTATGTAATGCTCCTCTCCTACCCTATTTATTTCAACAGGGCTACCAGATCCCGAAAGGCTGGAGTGTCATGTACAGCATCCGTGACACGCACGAGACAGCTGCCGTCTACCTGAGCCCCCCTGGTGGCTTTGACCCAGACCGCTTCAGTACCGCCCAGACAGAGGCTGTGGGCCGCTTCCACTACATCCCCTTTGGGGGCGGGGTGCGGAGCTGCATCGGCAAGGAGCTGGCACAGGCCATTCTTAAGCTGCTGGCCATTGAGCTGGTCAGCACAGCCCGTTGGGAGCTGGCCACCCCCAGCTACCCTGCCATGCAGACTGTGCCCATTGTGCATCCTGTTGATGATGGGCTGCAGCTCTACTTCCACCTCTTGCAGCCTGGCCAGGGCAAAGAGGGGTGAGCCAGGGGTATGCTGCCCCTCTCAGCCCTGGTGTTGATGTCCCTCCATGGCTGCCAGGGGCAGTCTCTGCTGTCCCCGTGGCACTGGGTCACTGCAGAGCAAAACCCCAAAGGTCTGATTTTTCGCATCCTGGTGTGCAAGCCAGTAGGGAAGGCCCTGCAGAGTCCTGCCTCTGAGTATCAGGTGGGGACTCAGCCCCATCCCAGGGGCAAAACCCAATGAAGGTGCTGGCAGGGAGCATCTGTCATAGGTGCTCAGCCAACCCTTTCCTCATGCACGTCTCCAGGCATTGGGGTGAGGGTGCAAAATTCCCAGCCCTACAGCCAAGGCTCACAGAGCTTTTCTGTCATGTGATTATCTCCTGGGTATGTTATAGTAGAGGCAGGACCAACATCCTGCACAGTGTAGCTTTTTGGGTGTAAATGGAGGGAAGATGAGGAGGCTTTGCGGAGAAACTCAAGCCAGGGCTGCCCAATCCTCAGCACCAGCTCTAGCTAGAATAATAGCATGAAAAGTGTATTTTACTGTAAATATATAATCTCATTCCTGCACTCCCCACTAGAGCTGGCACAAAGCGTACATGTCTCATTCACCCAGTAGTGGTAGCCATGTATGTTGTGCATCAGCGCCGTGCTGCTGCTAGGGGTCTGCTATGAAGCCCCCTTCTGGGCTCCCTGCAGGATGGGATCCCCAGCCGCAGCCTGACTGTGGGATTGGCCTGAAGCAGGGGATGGGACTTTGGGGAATAAACACTTGGAAAAGGGATGTTTCTGAATGTGTCTGATTTGTGGCATAAAGTCCTCTGCTCCTGATGGTGGTGTTCACACTGCAGAGGGGGCATCTGGAAAGTGACATAGGCCCCATGCTGCCTTGCTGGCCAGACTGACCGTGTCACCTCCTGCAGCCTGCCCCTGCCGGGGAAAGTGCCAAGACAGCAGCTCTGTGGGTCCATCCAGGGGTAGTACCTGGGGCTAAGCCTGGATGCTGAAGGAACCTTTTTAAGTGGCTTTTGAGTACCACCTGCTTTGCTGAGACAGGAGGTATTTCTCTCCCATGTAAAATGAAGTGAGTCCTGTTGCTTGCACTGAGAACAGAGCTGGGCTCAGGTCCTTGTTACACTGCAATGTATTAATAAGCTCCTTTCAGCTTCACCTCTGCTCCCTACTGTCACACATCCTGCACGGGAGCAGCGGAGGAAAACATCCACCTTGTCCTTACTGTGTGTTTTGGGCTTGGTGGCACAGTGTGCGTTGTGTGAAAAACCAGCCGCAGCTCAACCTGTTAGGGCAGAAAACTGGCATGTTGACAGGATCCCTCTGGAAATGCTCTGGAGAGCTGCCCTGTTATTGTCCTGCTTCAATATCAGGCTACAAATGATCTTGCCCTGGCCAGTCCCCCTTGTACCTCCATGCTGGAGCTCTGCAGCGGGGCATGTGCTGCCGTTAGCTGTCAGAGGGCTGCGCAGCCAGCACAACGCTACCTGAGGCAGAAATGTGGCTCCCAAATGTGACAGGTCAAATCTGGAAGAGGTTGAACTGCAGGGCTGAGTTAAGTGCTGTTGGCAGGTCGACCCCGTAGTGAACCAAAGCCTCTGCCCCTCCTGACCTTGTCCTGAAAGGTGAATCTTTCTGGCTATCAGAGGTGAAATCAGTAGGTGGTGGCTGCAAGTGGCAATGACTAACTTTAATTAGCAGGAGCTGCTGGCGTGGCTGTGACCCGCGGGCGACGCAGGCTCCCACCGCGGGCAGGGCTGCGGGGCAGAGCAGGGCCTGCAGCGCCCAGCACCGGCCAAGGGAGGGCTTAACAATTACCCCGAGCGCTAACGAGCCCCGCAGCCGCCCGCTGGAAAACGTAACACGGATCTAGTTAAAAAAAAAAAAAGGACTTGAAACTGATTTTGTTTGCAGATAAACAAGAGCATTTACAAACGACGTGTAATGATTGTTACTTGTAATCCAAGTTTGTTCATATTAGGCTGTTAATTTCTTGACCCCCTTCCAAGATGTTTTTAATTATCCCTTTCACTCTTTACCATTTGATTCTTTTCGAGCCGATGGCTGGGGAATACACAGCTGGGGAGATAATAAAGCCTTCCTGTGGCAATTATCGGTGCTCAGGCCACCGTATCTCGTTATTTTGATAGACAGTGAACTTGGCGCGATTGCCGACCGGGTTCACGCAGATGTCACGGTCCGTGTTGTAGGTCACAAGCAGGTCAGCGCCCGGCAAGGGGAGAGCGCCGGGTCAGGGCCCGGCCGTCGCCGCTCCCGACCAGCGCCAGCCGGGCCTCCCGGAGCCGCACCGGACCCCGAGGGGCTGCGCGCCGCCAGGAGCGAGGATGTACCCCAGTCTTGGGCAAGGGGGGACGGAGGCGCGCAGACCCGCTTGCGCAAGGCATCGAAAGAGGAGGTAGGGTCCCGAGTGATGCGCTGATTGTCAGGAAAATAATAATTAAAAGTGACATCTCCCCCTCCCCTGCACAAACGCGCACACAGCTTGCAGCTTTTATTTAGCTTGTCTGGGAGCAAGAAAGCAAAAGTAACAGGGAGGCAAAAGAAGAAAAATGGAAATTGAGGAAAAAAACAAACCAAACAAAATGTTCCCAACAACAAACCGAGCACGACATTTTACTGGTAACAACAGTGCCCGGCAGAACGCCCCGCGGCCCCGTCCTTCCCCTCCGGGGCCCTGCAGCTGTGGTCAGCGCCAGGCGCTCCTTTCCTAGCGACTGCGCCTCCCGGACGGCGCCTCTTGCGCAGGGACGCAGCGGCAGCCCCATCGAAAGCAGCCTCCCCGCGGCCCCGCCGGCCGCTCCTGCAGACGCTACTCCTCTCCGGAGAGCAGCCACCAGTGCCTGCCCGCCGGCTCCAGGGGGGAGTCTCTCCGCGATGAGGCAGCCGGCACCCTGCCCGTCCGGTGCTGAGCGCCTCTTCCCGGCCGCTGCAGCCCCGACGGCCCCGGAATGCCGGCGAGACCCAGAAAAGGGCGGGCAGCAGGTCCCGGGGAGAAGAGCCGGGCACGGAGGGCTTGGTGTTTCCTTTCCTCACTCACCTCCCTTTCCCTCAGTGACCCGCGCTTGAACCTGCCTCGGGAGGCTGACACGGACTGCAGCCCGCGGCTCCTTCCTCCGCGGCAGGCAGAAATACAAGCCGGGCCTTTCGAGGTGAACGAGAGGACAGCGGAGCTTCCTCCACCGATGTGGCGGCACATCTGCGGCTCCGTCCGGTGGCCCGCCGGGCTCTCCCAGCATGGGGGACTGCGCGCTCCGTCCGGCCCCCAGCACTGGACCGCTGCTCGGGCCACTGACTCGCCGTTCCCAGCCGGCGACAAGAGAGGGTGCGCGAAGGAACTCCGTAGCTTGGCGGAGCGCAGCGGAGTGTCCCCGGAGGTAGGTATCCCCGGACAGCAGGGTCCCCGGGGGCTGGAGCAGGACATTGCTCGGTGCAACCTGCTCGTCTCTAGCGAGCATCAGCAATAAATCCGAGGAGGTGGCCGGTCCCCAGCTGTCGGCGGCATCCGCTGCCAGCTCGCTGAGAGCGGTGCTGCGGAACGAGTGCGGAGCGGCGGCTGCCGCCGCGCCCGGCAGCACCTTTACTCCCCCGGCGGCTGTCTGCGGCGGGCGGGATGCGCCGCGCAAAGCAAATAGTTAAAGATTTCGGGGGGAGGAGCCAGGCCACAATCCGCAATTAAAGATGAACTTTGGGTGAACTAATATATCGACCAAGGTAGGGTGGGCAGCAACCTGGGAAGGGTATAAAAGGCGGCCAGCGGCGAGCCTGGCCCGCGCACTCCGAGCTCCCGGGGGGCCAGGCTGGACTCGCTCCCTAGCCATGGGCTTCTCCGCCCTGGTTGCCAGCGTCCTGTGCACCTTCCTGCTGCCCATGCTGCTCTTTCTGGCCGCTGTCAAGCTCTGGGACCTGTACTGCGTGAGCGGCCGCGACCCCAGCTGCCCGCTCCCGCTGCCGCCGGGCACCATGGGGCTCCCCTTCTTCGGGGAGACGCTACAGATGGTGCTTCAGGTAAGGCTAGGGGATGCCGCGGGGAGCGAAGTCGTCCTCGGTTCCTCCTCTGACTGCAAGGGAGGGGGGAAGACCAGCAGCTTTGCCAGGCTCCCGTGCCCAGGTGGGAAAGAGGTGCTTTTCATGCGCCTTTCTTTTCTTCGTTTAACATTTATTTTGTTATTCCCTCCCTTCTCCCGGACAGAGGCGTAAATTTCTGCAGATGAAGCGCAGGAAATACGGCTTCATCTACAAGACTCACCTATTCGGGCGGCCCACTGTGCGAGTGATGGGAGCCGAGAACGTGCGGCATATCTTGCTGGGCGAACACCGGCTCGTGTCCGTGCAGTGGCCCTCATCGGTGCGCACCATCCTGGGCTCGGGCTGCCTCTCCAATCTCCACAACGGGCAGCACAAGCACCGCAAAAAGGTACGGCCCCGACGGCGGGCGGGGAGCGGGTGCAGGCACCCCGGGTGCAGCGGCTGAGCCTGTGTCCCCTTCTTCTCCTCCTTGTCCCGCCGGGCAGGTAATCATGCAGGCCTTCTCCCGGGAAGCCCTGCAGCACTACGTGCCCGTCATCCAGGAGGAGGTGAGTGCCTGCCTGGCGCGGTGGCTGGGTGCCACCGGGCCCTGCCTGCTAGTGTACCCCGAGGTGAAGCGCCTCATGTTTCGCATCGCTATGAGGATCCTGCTGGGCTTCCAGCCCTCTCAGGCCAGCCCTGACGGCGAGCAGCAGCTTGTGGCTGCCTTTGAGGAGATGATCCGCAACCTCTTTTCCCTCCCCATAGATGTGCCTTTCAGCGGGCTCTACCGGGTAAGGCTTGGGGGGTGGGGAGAAGAGTGGTGAAACTGCAACCAGGGCAGCTGAGAATGGCCGGGAGGGATGGCAGTACAGCTCAAGTCCCATGTTGCTCTCCCTGCTGCTTGGCCAGGGCTTGCGGGCACGCAACATCATCCATGCCAAGATAGAGGAGAATATCCGTGCCAAGATGGCCCGCAAGGAGCCTGAGAGTGGCTACAAGGATGCGCTGCAGCTGCTTATGGAGCACACACAAGGCAATGGGGGGCAGCTCAACATGCAGGTGAGGTTCTGCGGGGCCAGGTCTGTTCCTTTCCTCCAGCCCTTCTGTCAGCATTACACTTACCTTTTGGGGCCAAAACGAGATGGCAGGAGGTGTTCCCTTTCCCAGGTTGCGTTGTGCACTGGTGTGCAGAGGCTGCAACCAAACTGCTGGATAAGGAGCCATATCCACAGGGAGCATAAGCATCACCCCCATCCTGACCCCTGGGTGTCTGCTTCAGTCTGGGAGTGATGCACAGTGTTGTACAAGTGGTAGAATGGGCCTGGTAGAGATACTATGTTCAAGCCCTGTTTTACTCCTCCTCTGTGTCAGGAGCTGAAGGAGTCTGCTACAGAGCTGCTGTTTGGGGGCCACGAAACCACTGCTAGTGCTGCTACGTCACTGATTGCCTTCCTAGGGCTCCACCACGATGTCCTGCAGAAAGTTAGGAAAGAGCTGCAGGTGAAGGTGCGTGCCTCTCTCAGAGCCATTTCGCAGGAGGGGGGCAGTGGGAAGGTACCTCCAGGAAAGGTGTCCCAGACTGGGCTCCCTCTGACCCAGCTGGTGCCCTGCTTTTGGGGGGAGACAGGTAAATACCGTTTTCTGAGGGGTGCCAGGAGCCCTACCTGCCTGCTCCATAAATGTCATGGCAGCATCTTCCTTTCTAGGGGTTACTGTGCAGTCCCAACCAAGAGAAGCAGCTAGATATGGAGGTCTTGGAACAGCTGAAGTACACAGGCTGTGTCATCAAAGAGACCCTCCGGCTGAGCCCACCTGTTCCTGGAGGATTTCGAATTGCACTCAAGACCCTTGAGCTAAATGTAAGTGGGGTTTGGGCTTAACTCCTCAGAGTGAAGTACTAGTGCATTACATGTAGCCCATCCACCTTTGGATGACCTGCAGGAAGCTAGGAGGAGAGGTGGGGTGCACCAACGTGTCCTGTACTGACACTTCACCTTACCTAACACAACATGCACTTCATGTCTCCTTTCCCTTCTTTTGATAGGGTTACCAGATCCCTAAAGGTTGGAATGTTATTTACAGTATCTGCGATACCCATGATGTGGCAGATCTCTTTACCAACAAGGAGGAATTTAACCCGGATCGCTTCATGTCTCCGTCTCCAGAGGATTCCTCTAGGTTCAGTTTCATTCCTTTTGGTGGCGGTTTGAGGAGCTGCGTGGGCAAAGAGTTTGCAAAAGTCCTTCTGAAAATATTTACAGTGGAGTTGGCACGGAGCTGTGACTGGCAGCTGCTGAATGGACCTCCTACAATGAAAACTGGCCCCATAGTGTACCCTGTTGACAACCTGCCTACCAAATTCATAGGTTTCAGCGGCCAAATCTGAGAGCTCAACACTTGCCTCTGGCTGGATTTCTCCATAGTATCTAATGTGTACAAAGTAACTTTTTATAGTAACTATTTAAATTTGTAAATGTACAATAGTTATTTATGACTTCAAATATTTCAAAAGGCTATGATATTTTTTTCCCCAAGCACTACAATTATGGGTCTCTGATTCATAATTAGATAATGTTATTTCTATAGAAATAAGTTTTCCCCTATTTAAGTCTTATTGAAAGCTGGCCAGCTAAGCATTTGAAGATGTTTCACAATGGTGTATGTATTAAATATTCTTAAAGACATTTGAAACAATGGTAACTGGCTACTCATCTGAATTATCTAAAATGGTTACTGTTTCAGAACTATTTCAGTATTATTTGTGTCTAGATCTTATGTTTAATGTGTGAATTTTGAGTTTGATAATAAAGTTTATTTTTGATGATCCTCTGTATGAAGATCTGTGTGTACACTAAATAGTAGCTTAATCAGTGGGTCTAAAGGGTTTGGTTGTAAAGTCAGATCTGCTTTTGTGAATGAGCTATTTGCTATTTCTATGCTCGTAACTCTCCCCTGCTTCCCACTCCCAGTGTGGTTCTCACTTCTGAATAGTAAATCGTTTGAAGTTTTAGCCTGTAAGTAGCAAGAGCAGTGCAAAAACATACGCATGCTTACTGAAGAGAGTATGGAGTGATAAAAAGTGCTACAGGTCTCCTTATCGAGTACATAATCTTGAGCCATGGTAAATACTAAAGTAAAGAGAAGCAGAAGACTAATGTATTACAGGAGTCTTTCTCTGTAACTACAGAAAATAGGTTGAGGGGAAAAAAAAACCATAAATGTCCTCTCATCCCATATTACTGCTGACCTCTGTAAACAGACCACCAGATCTCGTTCTGTGTTGAGTCTGCTGGCTATGAATCTTTACTTACGAAGGTGTCTCTTATCAGTTGGTAGAGCAAATAAAATCTGCTGATTTCTTCTTGAAATGCAACAGCTCTGACTAGGTCACAGATAGAGCATGCATTTGGTTTAAGAACTTCTTTCCTGGAATTCAGCAAAGTGAAAACTAAAAGGGAGGCACTAATGTGAATTGATTAACAGGGAATCAACTGTTGAGATGCAATTCCCCGGGGGTGTGTAAGCAGGACAGATAAAATGCCCTAGGCATGACCTCTGTTTTGGCTTAACCATAAGGTCTTCCCCCCCCCCCCCCTTACTACACCTATTAGTCTTCCCTTAAAAGTCAAACAGCATGGGCTAGTTTTATAAACATCTACAAAGTAAACCAATGTAATTCAGTGTCATGAGTACTTATAGCACCGCATAGACTAATTTAATTTTCTGTTTGTTTCTGGAAAATAGTACCTTTTTCATTATGCTCTCCCAAGGTCAAAATTAAGGATGGAGTTAAGTTGCTCAAAATCACTGCAGGTGTTTAATAGCATATATGAGGTTTTGGATTTTTTTTTTTTTAAGGAATGTTTTTAGAATATACTTGATATGTTTCCAGCTAACATTTAAAAAACATAAGCTTTTAATGTAAGACCTTAGGTACAGCCTACATATGAGCATGACTATCAAGACATTTTCATATTCAATTTTTGTAGTCTTAAAATACAAAAGGTATTTTTAAATCATGCTTGAGTCTTCTTGGCAGTGTTTAAAATCTTAAATAATTTTTACTATTCAGACTTCTTGTACCATTATGTTTTCCAGGGATTTGATAAGTGATCTCAGTTTAAGATGCCCTATTACAAATATAGTAACATAAAACTGCAAACCTTGTTCCTGATTTGGAGGTGACCTGAAGTCTAGAGATCAGCAAGACTCTTGTCTTGGTATCCTTCATTAACATTTTATGCCTTAACATTACAGCATTCTACAAATGCAAATAGATGCTGGTATTTTTTGTACTAAATTGTTTTCTATTATTTTTAATTGAAGTCTTATATGTGGGAACTTTTTTAGTTTACATTTTGTTTTTTTATAAAGAATGGGTATCTAAGTGCTGTCCAGATAATATGGAGAGTATGAACACTCTTTCATGGTGTAAGTCTAAAGTCATACATGCATTTATCTGTTTCCTTTTTTTTTTATTTTTGAATCAGCTTTGTAAGTCTTTTATGTTTAGAGAAAAAAATCATATATTTAATTTTATATTGTCTGGGCATCTGGGGGCACATCCTCAGCTGTTGTAAATCATGACAATGTAACTGATGTTAGGCACTGCCCCTGTATGATTTGTAGTTAAATGGTCTGTCACTGCTGTGTAATTTAGGCATCTTGGAGCTAGCTTTAAACAAGCCATCCCAATAAATGGTAGCAGTGTAGCTGCAGTAATATGGAGCTCAGTGTGGGTTAATTGCTAAAATATTTGCCCAACTTCTTGAGCAGGTTTTACAACCCCTGCTAATCTCCTCTATGCAGCTGTTATTTTGACAGCTTAGATGCTGGCTGCAGACCAGTTTCAGGTGAGCTCTGGTATGATTATGTAGCTTTGCCCACTCAGCAGCAGCTGGTGTGGGCACATACTGAGACTGTGGCTGCTATTTAGGGTCTGCCTAGCTCTTGCACCTTTGGCTTCTACCCCTTTTGTTATGATGGATCCATGAGTTTATCTTGCTGAAAAATTATCTACCAAAAGATAGTTGCTTTTTGGGCAGACCAGGTCATCCATCGCTCCAGCTCTCTGCACGAATGTTATTTATTAGTGCTGGGGTGCTGCAGCAGAGATGAAAGAGGCCAGCCTGCTCCACTGCTAACAGGTAGCTCCTAGAGCCATGCTTTAGCTCTCCTTTTGCAAGCGTTACCATGTGCTGCTGAAAGCCACTTGTGCTCAAAGGCTCACAAACTGAAACACATTAAAGGGCCAGATCGGGTGAGGGGCACTCACTCCTTTTAATTGGGCCTTTTTGGGGTATTTCATATTTCTCCTCATAGTTAACCTGTAATTTAAAATAAAAGTATTTGACAAATTCTCTCTCTGGAAAAATGCACACAGTTCAGTAGGTGCTATCCTTTAGTCCTGGAGTAAACCCTGATTATTTATATGCAGCATGCTGTTTTTAATCTGAGAGTAAGGTGGGTTAGTGGAACCCACACTTCTCTTACACCCACGTGAATGTATGTAAATGTGTGGTTCTTAACAACATACATTCATTCTTGAATAAAAACAACATTAAAGAATTACATTGGTATAAGTTGACATTGAGGAATGCTACTTGATAAATCAATTCCTGATTGAAAAGGAATAGTATTAATACATAAGGTCAGAAGAGGTAATAGTGAATTTTGGTAATGGTTATATGAGTAAGAAAAAATGTTCAAATGAATGCTAAAAACTCCTTGGAAAAAAAATAATTGATTGATCAAAGATAATTTGATCAGTTTTATTTATTTTGTCCTAGTGAAATGAGAGAATGTTACTTTCATGTTGCTTTCAGGAGTTGCGCTAGGAAAGGACTGGATTTTTGCTTTCGATTCTTGAAAGCACTTATTGAAGGGACAGTATAATTTGAAGCCTTGCATGCTTAAGGTTTTGCACTCACTTTTCTGACGTTTTCTTTTTTACGTGAGTCTCTTCCTGGACCTTGCAAAATGAGAGGCTGACAAAAAGGTTGTCCTTCTTTCTACCCCATTACAATCTACCATGTTCTTGTATTTTATTTTGGTCAGTGATTTAGAATAACCTTTGGAGAGGTACCAGGAAAAATACTTAGTAATATATGTACAGTATTTAATTTTGGGCTTTCAAGTGGTACTTTCCTAAGTGCTATAGGAAGTTTTTAGAGCTGTTTTTGCAAATCTGCATCTAGTAATCTTTGAGAACAGAACACGGTTGTGGTTTTTTTTAATTCTACACATTGGCAGAAGTGTTCAGGGTGGATGCTGATAAAAGAATATGCCCTGGTCATTTGAAATGAATGTGCGTAAAGTTAGACCCCGAGATCTCTTTTTGTTTTAAGCCTTGAAATTTATTTTTATGAGGTATAAATTCTCAAAATTTTCTGTCTGTCTCAAATGGAGCTTCACTGCTTAGGCTCCCTGAAAATTCAGCTACTTGGACTTAGTCCCAAGTACAGGTTAAATAGCCCAAGTGCGAGCAACCCATGGCAGATTTTTTTTCCTTAAAATTACTACACACCATCTTTCCTCTAACAGTCCAACAGGATCCCATGGAAGTCTGTGTCTCTGCTGAACATTCACATAAACCAGACTTCAATCTATGGACTTTTTGGTAATGTTTTTGAACCTATGAAAGGCAGTCACAAATTTTGCGTTTGGGACATACCGCTCAGTAGGGTATGTTCCAGACCCAAAGTAGTTACTTTATTTATGGTTTAAAGGTACTATGTTACATGTAGTTGTCTTCTCTGTTGTAGCAAAAAGAGTGAGTAGGTTTGTTAAGCATTTGTTAATCTGGATAATTTTGTTTGCCAGGTGTTTTGTACTGTAAATTCTCTGTCAAGTTATACATCCAGAATGCAATGCAAAATATATACAGATTACCAGCAAAGATTTAAAAGTTTGTTAGTTGCAACCATTAGAGTGATAGATTAGGAGAAAGGAAACATAACTGGCAGTAAGTTTAGAGAAGACTCATTACTAGACTGGCTTGCTTCACTTGTTTAATAATGTCTTACAAAAAATGTTACATGAGAAGCTCAATGAATAATGCAGCCTTCATTAAGTTATGTAAATGAATGTAACTTTGTGGGTGGGTTAGAAATAAAATATTTAACAAATTTGTTTACATCCAGAAAGTAAGAACAGTAGAGACAGCTTTTAAAGAATCTCAGATTAAAATATTTAAAAGGTGACAATGAGAATTTTGGTGGTAGGACAAAATAGTGCTGTTTTAGTAGGTGTTTACAGCTTACCTTTCAGTTGCAACATAGACAGGGCAACATATTAAGTATTCTCAGTTAATTAAAGTGTTATTTGTGCCTTTGTCAGCAGTCCCAACAACACTGTCTTACTTGTGTATGCTGTTAGTGCCCCAGAGACACGTGCAGAACTTGTGTGATTTGCAAGGCTAGAAGGATCATTTTAGCAAATGACTTATGATGTACTTGTTTGCTAGGTCATTTTGTTCACAAACACACAAGCATTTGTACACTGGATGATTTCAATGCATTTTTTTTCTCCCAATTTATGACCATTTAGAAAAGCTGAAGTCTCTATGGGTTGAGTTTGCAGGATAACTGCCACAACACGAGAAAATCATAAACCAAAGACTAAATCATCTATTGACAACATGCTTTCCTACCACACCCACAAATGCCAACTTTTCTTATGCTTCTCCCAGAAAAAAATCCTTGGATTTGGGCCTCACAGCTTACCCAGAAGGTCAAAGATTGTTGAAGGCTGTTTTTGAGCAAAGGGGGCATAAATTCCAGAGCTGAGGGCCCCTCAAAGGATCTCTCCAGAGATAAAACTAACCAAAAGGCA